AGCTTGGAAGTCCACAGCCAGAACCCCTTCCTGTCTCCAACCTGACTTTTTTGGGGGATAGCCTTGTGGGTGGGTCGTGGACACCCTGGCTTATGATCCCTGTTTTTCCCCCAGGTCCAGCAGGCATTCTCTGGCCCCCTCAAACTGCTCCTTCATGTTGGTTCATTAATCAAGATGATGGCCATCACCTTCCATATAGCAAGTGCCCTGGGTTGCAGGTGCTGGGCTATGACCTGCACAGTCTCATCCATCTCACTGGCCACTAGGGCAAGGCAGTAGAGGAAGCTGAGGCTCAGGATAGAGGAGAGTGACCTGAGGCAGACCTTCCTGTTTGTCACCATCAGCTGGGGACCAGGGTGTGCTAGTAGATGGCACTGCCCAAACTTGCTGCTGGAAGTGGCCAGACAACAGGTGCCTTTTGAAGCTTTGATGGATGGGCATTTTCATTATTTTATTAAACAGTAACTTTTTACAACTCAGTTTTGGAAGCTGCTCAAACTTGGAGCATCTTTAAAGTGCTTTTTAGTTGATTGTCCACGTTGACATACCATAAGAAGTTAGGGACCTTATCCCTGAAACTCCCTTAACCCCACCCATGGCTGAGATACTCAGTCATGTGAGCATGAGGTACTCAGTTTTCTGAATGAGCCATTTTGGTGGCGCAGGTGCATGATGGAGAGCAGCTCACTTGCTGTCAAGGAACAGACATGTGTGTCCCCTCTGCCAGTATTGTGGCCTAGAAGGATGACTGCAGGGAAGCAGGTGGAAGAATGCTGCTAGCCAAGAGGACCTCAGAATGTCCTCATGGAGATAGGGTGCTGCCACTTTTACTGCCTCCCCCACTCTGCTCATTTTGTTCCCATTTTCTTTCCAGTCCTCACTCAGTCTCTTCATTCTTAGCATCTTCTCTCCTGTCCCTCCTACCTACCCGTCTCCTGTCTCCTGCCTACCCGTCACTCCTGAGCTCCTGTTTCTTCTAGCCCAGGTTAGTTCATGTACACAGGGTGTGCCTGTGGGCCAACAGGGTCCCTGTGGCCAGGCTGTACAGGTGCAGGTTCCGGCAATCATAGCCAAGGAGCTGGTACTGCCCTCCTCCCTTAGGGCTCCTGTCCTGCCCCTGTGGCTTCCTCAGCCAGCTCTGACATAGGCATAACAGTTTAGTAAAACAAACTGAAAATGTTGAGTTGGGAGAATCCCAGTGGCCTGGCTCTAGTAAAGGCTATGCTGTTTTGCACGGATTTTATTTATTCCATTTAATAAAGCAGCTGCAGAAGTTGGTAGCAGATGTCATGAATCCTCTGTCAATGGAGCTATAAATACAAGTGTGTGACACCTTGATTCCACACATTGGCTTGATCTGTGTTTCCAATTTATTTAATTAAAACAGATTACAGTGCTGATGGTTGTGTGGTGGTATGTAGAAAATCCCAATTTCAGATTGCAGTGATCTGGAGTAATTTCTGACTTCCAATCTAGGCAAAATAGACTTCCCTTGTCCACCTCCTACTCTTGTTACTTGCATGTGGACTCTGACATCACTGTCCATCCCAGTATCAACTCTCAAGGGGCTTTCCTTTTTACTGATGTCCCACATGAAGACATGGGAAGGGTGCATCCTGCAAAGACTGAACATGGCAGGATGGAATGAATCATCAAGAGAAGTGCATGGAGGGGCAAGTGAGAGAAAGCAATCCCAGCACTCAGACTCTAGGGCAGCCCTCGGGATCACTATGCATGTGACTTCTGGGGACTCTGATCTTGGGGACTCTGCTTGTGTGGGCACCAGCCTCCATGCAGGCCTGGTGCCCTGCTCTCTGGTCTTCCCTGCCAGGCCATCCCACATCCTACACAGGCTGTCTCAGTGCCCTGTAGGGTTCTGTGGCATCTACTGCCAGTGGGGCAGTGTCCCAGCCTATGGCCACCTGCAGTTTTCCCTGCTGCATCATGGGCTCACTGTGCACGACAGGGGTGCCAGGTCATCTGGCAGCTACTTCACACTTCAGGATAAAAATAGCCCTGCTGCAGTATTGCTGCAGCACCTACATGTTGCAGGTAATGCGTATGTCCGTGGCTCATGTTTGAGCACGTTCGGGCCCTGGGGCAGCTCCTCACTATGACACCAACCCCAGTCACTTTGCCTTTGGGACCCTCCTTGGCCACTTGTCCCTGGATGGCTAACAGGGACTGCACCTTCCCATTCCCTAGCTGTGACCCACTCTAGGCTCTAGTACACCATCTGGGCCCCTGCCTTCCTTGGTTTCTTTATGGTGATAGCATCCTGGTCAGAGCCAGGAGCCTGCCCAGAATAGATATGATATGTGATGCTCAGGCTAGCCACTAGCCCCGATGTGTGGGCCAGTAGGTAAGGCTAGCTGTGGGCAAACAAGAATAGTGGGTGGGACCAAGAGATGTTGGCGGGTCTCCTGTTGAGAATGTAATCTGGCTCCGTCTAGCAAGAGATCTCCATGAGTTGCTGTATAGACAGTTGCACTCCTTAAAGTCTCTGCAGTGGTGTGGGAGGCAGCCATCACAAGGAGCTGCTCTAACAAGTGTGACACTGTCCATTGAAAGACAAACTAGCACCACCTGAGCCCCAGGCTGCCCACCACCTGCCCCGGCCTCAGCTGTGTGCTGAGAGTCCTCTGAGGAAGCCCAGGCCATCATTATTTTTCCCAGTGCTGTGTAGGAAGTGGCCCCCACAGAGGGTGCTGTACTGGAAGGTAGGACCTTGCGTTGTCTGTCCTCTCTAGAGGAGGGGCAGTGACCAAATGTGCTAGGCTGTTTTTGAGGGAAGGCCTGGGCACTAGTGTCGTCCTGGCACAGACTGTGTGATTTCTTTGATGTGACTGTTGTGCTTCTATTGCTCAGGTCTAGAATTTCAAAAGGAATCTGCTGTTTAGATGTGGATGTGGTGAGTGATGTTGCCCCAGCTGGGGCACAGATGTGGCTGAGATGGCCCAGGCTGCTTCCTCACAGGCACCTTGTCTTACCCTACTGCCCACCCAGGCTGCATGTTTGGGAGACCTTGCAGGAGGTACATGACTGGACCATGAGATGATATACCCAGTGCTAGAGAGCACAGTGTGTCTCCTGGAGTTTGGTTTTGGTCAACTTTCACCAAGATGTGGTTCTGCGTAGAGCTGGTAGAAGACGGTGGAATGTGTTCCTGCTGACAGGAGGCAAGCTTCTCTGAGCATCTCCAGATGCCAGTGGGCATCAGGCACAGGCTGAGTTCTAGGGTGCCTTGCTGGCCTTAAGATGTGGACACCAAAGTCACTTGGAGCAGGCAGATGTCCTTCAGTGCCAGGGGGCAGTGGAGACAGCCAGAGCATGTTTAATAGTTTCTTTCACTATATACCTTGGGCTGGAATTACCAAGTTACATTTTATGTAGATGTAATACAGTTGTTAAATTTCAAGGAAATACCAAACTGTTTTACAAAGTCACTCTCTAGTTTTCATTCCCACTGTCCACATGGACAAGATTCAGTTGATTTACTTCCTTTCCAGATCTCAGTGCTGCCAGAGTTCTTCATGTTTGCCAACCAAATGGGTACAAAGTGGTATTTTGTTGTTGGTCCTGATTTGCATTTTCCTAATTACTAACCATGTTAATTACCTATCTGTGTGTTTGCTGGCTTTGTGCATTTCCTTTTCTGGGAGAAGTCTGTTTGCATCTTTGCCCATTTTTCTGTTGTGTTTGTTTCTTACTGCTTTATAGGTGGTCAGTGTGTCCCAAAGACTGATCAGGTGGCGGGGATTTCTGTACTTGCTGAGTTCCTCTTGTGGATGATACATTGGGGCAGCATCCTGCCCGGGCAGAGCAGGATTATTTATGTGTCCGAGAGCAAACAGGCAGCTTGGTCCCAGAGCTGTTCTCTGTAGGTGGGTTCTGTGGGTTGCCCTCTGTGTCCATAGTCTCCTCAGACCTAGGTAGAGGGCTCCAGAGGTGGAGATCCAGCTGTCATTCCCTCCGCAAGCCCATCTGTGTGAGGCAGAGGAAAGAAACACATGCATCCACTCACTTCCCATGGCCCTGCCCCCAGAAGACTGCTGCTTGGGCAGGGTCGCTCCTGGATCTGTGAGGGTGATCTCCTTCTCTACAAGTACCTGTGCATGGTTGGCATTTATAGATGGAGTGCACAAAGGCTGGCTCAGGACAGGGAAGTTCACTTGGTGGCCATCCCTGGTTCTCTCCATACATCACTGTCTGTTCAGGAGAGGGGTGTCAGCAGGGCCTGTGAGCAACACCATCTGCCCTCATGGTGTAAGCTCATCTTGGCCTGATGACAATTGTCTCCGGAGGCTGATCCTATCTCTGAGCCTCAAGGAATTTACAGCACTGGGCTGTAGCAGGGTTTGCCATTGCACCCTTACCTGGGCCCGTGCTCCTGCTCTGGAACCTGGGCTGTACCTCTTCCATGGTGAACTCCACTGGCTTTCCCAAGGAGTGAACTCCCTATCACTAGGCTGCTCCAGCAGAGGCCAGGCAGTACAAGGCTGTGGCCCAATATGGGGCTTACAATGGCTCTTAGTCAGGAGAAGGCCACCCTTGGCTGAATAGTCAAGCCCTCCCTCCTTTCTCTGCCTGAGTCCAGAGGACACAGGCCAGGCCTCACTGTTCCCTCCCAGGTCCACCCCCAGGTAACCACATCGAGGAGCTACAGAGATTTTCTGGGTCTCAGGCAACCCTTCCATAGCATATACCTGCTGGAAAAGATGGCTTATTTCTTCTTGCTGCCTGGGTACAGAGCATCCCATCCCCAGTACCTTCCTATAACTAAGGGGCAGGGTTTGGGATGGAATTTGGGTTCATGTTTCCCAGCTGCCACTTCTCCAACTGGGGGGGACCCTAGGCCTGCTTGGAGTAGCAGCTCAGCCCTGCCTCACCTGGTCCCTTGCCTGCCACTAAACGGGAAAGGGTGGCCACAGTAGGGTGTTAGGGTAGGAATAGACATGAGTCTTATCGATAGCCCTGACCCTCTTGGTTATGTCTTGTAGGCTCAACTGTCACAGGCCCTGGAGGAACTGGGAGGCCAGAAGCAGAGAGCTGACATGGTAAGTCCAGCAGTAGCATCCACAGGTCTCCCACATGGCTGAGGGCAGCTGGTTTAGGCCATTGCGAGTCCTGGATCTCAGCAGGAGCTCCAGTCTGGTCCTTCTCAGTGTACGTCCTGCAGGCACGAGCCTATGGCCTCTTCTCCATAGTTGACCCTGGTTCTGTTTTTCCCAGTGAGGTTACTGCCTATGCATGTGCCACCACAGTTACAAGCTCTTGCTAGAGTGTAAGGAGCCAGGTGGGTGGTGCTCAGGAGCCTGATGTCAAGCAGCACCTCCAGGTAGCTTGGTGGGGCTGCAAGGAGGCCCCCACCCTGCCCAGCTAGAGGAGGTTGGGACAGGCAGGGCTGGAGTACAAACATGCAGATCTTTGGCATGTTGGTTATCCCCTTAGCAGCACCAAAGGACATTGTGCCACCCCTGCAGACACAGTCACAAACAGCACATGGTCCTTCAGGCCTGTGGCCCACCAGCGAAGGTATGATCTCACTTGGAGGAGGAGGCGGCAGCTATCCTCCCTGAGCCCAGAGGATGCAGGCCAGGTCATTGCCCTTTCCCAGGTCTATCCCATGATAGCCATGTTGAGGAACAGCAGAAATTTTCTGGAACTCAGGCAGCTTCCACAGTGTGCACCTGCTGCTTCTGTTCTTTGGAAGATGCTTTGGCTGCTCTCTACACAGGAGTTATTGGGACAGGTGACCAGGACAGGACAGGACAGGACAGGGCAGGACCAAGACTGTAGTGGGAAGTGGTAAGCAGGTCAGATTTGAGAAAGATAGATGTAGGTACCATAGAGAATATGAGGGTGTTGAACCCAGGTCACTGCTACACCATGAGTGGAAGGGACATCAGGGGCATGCTGGACACTGGGCTAGGACTCCTGAGTCTGGGCTGGTGGGTCAGATCTGGCCCGTGAGCCCTGCATGGTGGTTCTGTCCTCTGAGATGAGGAGGTGAAGTGGAGTGGACTGGCTGCCAGATGGAGCTCTGTGAGCTGCAGAGACCTCTTGGATCTGGGGCAGCATCCTGGGTGGTCTCAGCACACGGGGTAAAGGCAGGCAGGACTGGCTCCTGGCGCATGTGTAAACAGCCCTGCCTAGGGGTTGGCTGTGGGTTTGCAGAGGGCAGAGGCTGGGAAGCAGGTGAGCCCTGGAAAAGTAGTTGCCCTGATGAGGGGTGAAAAGCAAGCTGCCGTGATGGGAGCAGCTTTCTGGGGCTGGAACAAGGACAGGGCTGCAAGCTACAGGCAATGGTCTCTTGGTGCCAGGAGGAGGGAGGTAGTGACCATGCATAGCTTTCCACAGTTCCCCCTTCCCTTCTGAACCTTCCTCTCTCACATTTTGGTTCTGGTGCCGGCCCCACAGTCTACAGAGCCCTCCTCCTCCTACATTTGCTGTTGGCACCATGTTCCTTGTCCTATGGACAGCCCTGCTCTTTTCTAGTCCCTGGCCTGTCTGTGCTCTGTCCTCATTAACTGGACTCTGCAGGCTCCTCCAGCAAGGGCCTGTTTAGTGTTGACTTTGGGGAAGCCACAGGTAGGTTGGGCGGAGGAGTTCCTTGAGGACTGGCACATCCATTTGCACAGCCCAGGGAGACCCTGATGTGCAGAGTGTCACCATGCATGGTTTCCTCAGTGTTGACCTGAATTGAAATGTGCCCAAGGGCCTTGTTTTCATAATGTGCACAAGGCAAGAAGAATTAGAAGTGAGTTGTGCTAAGCACATGCGAGGCCCATGGCCCTATGGCTGAGCAGCTGGCTGATTGCCTAGGGCTGTCCTTGAGTTTAGATCCCCCCACTTCACTGAAGAAGCTCGAGTGCCCTGATCCTGGCTCCCATGTAGCTTTGGAAAAACCACTGGCCCTGGGCCCCTCCCTGGAGAAGTAGGAGGTTTTGGCCCTCAAGAGCTATGTATGAGGTATGCTTAGTGGGATTGACTGTCTCTCCTCATCCCCCCTCCCACCCCATCCCCCACACACATTTACACTTTCTCTTCCTGTGTGAAAGCTCTGAACTTTGAAGTACCTGGCCTCCTTAAAGCCATTGACTTGGGATGTCAGGAGCCCTGGGCAGAGTGGTGATTTTACTTCTATCCAATTACTGTCAGGTTGGGAACCCCTGTTCCAGGGTTTGTACCCTGTCATGTAGAAGCCTTCCATCAGCTTTCCAAGAGTCTTAGAATACCTAATAGAAGCTTTTGATGAAATGTTATTGTTCTCTGACCCTAAGGAGATGGCCAGGCTTTGGGGGCTTCATCTCTGAGCTGACTCGTGGCTGGCCTCATGATATGGTGCCTGTGCCACAGACAGATGGGACACCAGCAGCTTAGGCAGGTTTCTGCAGGCTTGTTTTAGGACAGGGCTGTGGTGTTCTCTCTGCTATATTTTAAAAACCCAAGACTTCACACTGAGCTACATCCCCAGGCCCCCCCCCCTTTTTTTTCCGGAGACGAGATTTCTGTAAGTCTCTGAGTTGCCCAGGCTAAGCTGGAACTTGTGATCCTCCTGCTTCAACCTCTGATGGTGCTGGGCTTATAGCCATGTGCCCCTGTACCAAACCTTCACCTGGGATTTTCATCTCTAACTCTACCCTGTGTCTCTGCCTTACTTCACATTCTTTTTTTCACTTCTCTTCCTGTGGCAGGGATGCCAGGGAGGGGGACTTTCAGGGCAAGGAACACCCAGTCCTGGAAAGTGGGACTTGGGGGAAGTGCTCTCATGATGAAGACATCATAACAGCTGTGGGCATAGTTGCCGTGGCACATGCCCCATGTCGCAGTCCACAGCCCCTGCCTACTGTTTCCTCATACGGTGAGTCCATTAGGAGAATGGGAAGAACTTTAAATGTCTTTAGCTAATTGCAAAAGACAAGATAAAGGCAGTTTGACTTTCTATTATTAATTAGCAAATCACACTAATTAGTAAGCATAAGAAAGGTTCATGCTTTTTTCTTTAAATGCAATTAACATAACAAGGGGAAATGTCTGGGCCATACTTGTATCATTAACACACCTTACCCTAATTAGATGTGGCCAGCAGTGGCTGAAGAAATGGGTTTTTTGATTACAACTATAAAAAAGGCTCAAATACTTTATATAGTTCAGGGAGTGAGAATTGGAGACTTAGTTTCTGATGTAAGAGGCATTATGCCCCTCACAACTTGGTGTAATTAAACAGTCATTTTTCCTGCACTCCCAGTTTTCATCCTGGGGCTCCTTTCCCTTGTACTGGGGGAACCCAGTGGTAGAGCTACCCTATAGAAGGACCATGGCTGTGGCCTGCCCAGACCATGCCCTGTGTACCAACTACCCTAAGTGGCGTCTCTAAAGCAGGCAGGCCAGGCCCCACTGTCCTGTGCAGAGAAGGACCAGCCCTGGGGACCTTTCACATGCAAGAGCCTCTCACAGAGAGATCATCCTTATCCTCAGTGGACAACGCTGTGTGCACATCTGGCACAGCAGTCCCACACAAGTAGTGTTGTGACACCCCTGATTAGCACTGAGGCTGAACTGGGAAGGCAGAGCGGAAGCAGGCTATTCTCAGCGCTGTGACCACATCTGTGTGAGCTCTGCCCATACAGAGCCTGTGCACCAGTGCCACCCTTGTATAGGGAGGTCTTCACTAGGCCTTCAGTGCCTGGTGTGGCCTGCTGTCCCGTGACTTCTGGGTCCTGGCCCTTCTCTGACCTTACCCTCCTCTCACACTCTTCCATGTGACTCCTTGTGTTCTCCCTGCCTCCTGGAATGTGCAGCGGAGCCTGGTTTCCCGTCAGAGTCAGCTGCTTCCTTCTTCTCTCCTCTTCCTTGCTACATTCTTGGCAAGCACCTGCTTCTCATGCTATCTTTGTGTGACACATGATTGTCAGAATTGCTCTTGTCATTGTCCTTATCCTAAGCAGTGAGCTTCAAAGAACAGCCAGTACTTGCTGGGAGATCCCATCTGGGAACTTAGACTGACCTCACATCAGTCTCCTATGTCCTTTGCTTTAGTTGGTTTTATTTTAAAGATTGTCACCTATCTCTTGTTAGATTTATTCCTGGGTGTCTTATAGTTTCTGTTACTTGTACATTTGCTTTTCTGTGGCCTATTTTGGGGTCAGGGGTGGGAGATGAGATTTGGAATAGAGAAAAATCCCTGTGGATTCTGCCCCATGAAATTTAAAAAGATTTAGCCTATAATAACAAAAAAAAGAAAATTATTATTAAAATAATGGGAGTAATTCCATCCATGGGAGAATCTTGTCCTCGCCATAGTTCTTCTAGGTATTAGATGTAGATTTCTGTATTTTGCATCTGAAATGTTAGCTCTCTCCAATTGCTCTGCCCTTCAGGGCTACCTGTCCCCTGCTGCTCTAGAGCCAAGGCACCAGTCTTAGCACTCACACTGCCATTTGGCTACCTGGACCTTCTCACCCAGAAGGTCAGGCACTGTCCTCCAGGAGTTCAGCATGTGCTCCACAGGTGTTGACATGAGGATGCTTCCAAGTAGTAAGCTGGCCTTTCAGTAGAAGGACCCCACTGCACTGTGCGCTGTCACTGTCCTTCTTTCCTGAGGAGGTATTCCCCATTTGGGTGGTCAGCTGCACTGCATACTGGAGTAAAAGTGGGTAAGAGGGTTCAACTTGGATCCTGCCAACCACTCACTGCCAGGAAAGCAGTGGCTGTCCCAGAGAGCTTCCTAGGTGCTGATGGATGGGACTGGAGAACAGAACAGTGGCCTCTGGCCAGAGGTCCCACTCTGATCTCAGCATCATTTCTATAAGACTTGCAACATCTACCCAGATTGGGTTCTAGAGAGCCTGGTGCTACCAGAGTCCTCTGAGCCCTGTACCTCAGTGCCATCACCACCACCTGTGATCACTGGCACAAGACGAAGGCTCATACCTGTTGAATAAATAAAAGGTGAAATGGCACAGCCTCACTCCAGTGCCTGGCTGCTGTCAGGGTGAAAAGAACAGGTTACCCAGATCCCCTGCTTTGAGATTAGGTAAGACCCCAGGATCAA